TTTCACCACTCACCCTCAACTAATGATCAATATTACTGATCATCTCCTTTATCCAACTCACCTTTCATCACACCCACTATTTTATCTACCCATGTTTTACCCAACATTTTTCATAGATAAAAATACATATACAATTTAAATTATTTAAAAACCTGTATAAATCATTCCTTCAACACCCATCTCAAATAAACAAACAATATATATTCACATAACACGTATTTTATGTAAAATACTTCATATCTATGTGTAAGGTGAAAATAACTACACACTCACTTGATTTAATGAAAATCGGGCAGCAATTCGTTTCCTAAAACGATCGTTTCTAATAAAACCGGGAGTTTTATTAAGAAACAGGGCTCTACGAAGGGTCGGGCTTCAAAACCGAAAAGATAAATTTTTCGGGCTTCACGGGCACTCTGTGGCGTATTCCGGGGTTTAGAATCGATACCGGGGCTTCGAGGAAGGTTAAGGTGAAGAAAAGATGAAGAAAGGGGCTAAAAATGGCAAAAATCCAAATCTAACCGGGAAGGCTCGCAGGTCCCCTTCTATATATAGGGTCCGAAGTCTTGATCCAACGGCTGAGAAGTGGCCACGCTCCGCGGATCCGACGGCTTGCAGAGGAGGCTCGCACGAGGGCTGCACGTGGGTCGCACCTGCGAAGGCTCGCTGGCAGTCTCCTATTGGACCGAGGTCTACTGGTCCGAAGCCTAGGCACTGTGGCAGTCAGCGAGAGTTCGGTCTCGTGCTAAGAGGGTACGTGTCGCATGGCTACTGGACCGCTTCGGATAAGGCCATGTGCTCGGATGACTCAGCAGCTTAGCCACGTGGCTTCGCATGAGTCACTGATTTCGGACACGTGTCACATTCTAAGCGAGGGTGACGTGGCAATTGTGACTATGCGAATTTTCTCGGTTTTTGTGCAAAAACTTCTAAAATCCATAACTTTCGCATACGAGCTCCGTTTTTGACGTTCTTTATATGCACGCGTAGCTAAAATTACGCTCTACAACTTCCGTTTAGACGTCGTCGGCTAATTTTGACTTTAAATTTTATATTATTATTTTTAACAGACCGGGAGTGGAAATCCGTTAAAAATTCATAACTTCTTCATCCGACGTCCGTTTTCGTCAGACTTTTTACCGTTGTGCTCCTAATGACGAGACCTTCGATTATCGTTTAGGTCATGTCGGCAAAAAATCACTCGATCTAAAATTTGAGTTTTTAGCTGTCTACCGCTAAGCTGAAACTTCGAAAAATCATAACTTCCTCATACGAAGTCAGATTTGGGCGTTCTTTTTATCGAACTTCTCGGTTTAACGAACACTACGAGTTTCGTTTAGATCACTAAGGCCAAAAAGTAGTTTATCGAAAACTCACTTTTTACGACATTCGGCCCCGTGCCGGTTTATCGTGAAACTTCGACAGGTCATAACTTCTTCGTTATAACTCGGATTTCAGCATTCTTTATATATCCGTAATCCTTGTCACGCCCACTACAAGTTTCTTAATAGATATCGGCTTTATCTAAAATTTAATTTTTGACGCTTATTTTTATTCTTAATTATTTAAACTCTAATAATTAAGCATAAAACACATAATTCACATAAAATTCATATAATTCCTTTTTCATTTCTTTAAAATGAGTTACAAAGGTTAACCTAGACTATCACCTTAATATTAATGCCTAGGCTAGAAACACGAGTGTTACATTAGACCTTTGCCATTTCTCACAATTCGAACTATGAAGAGGGATGTCGTAATCATAATCGAATTTGAGAATGCAAATATCACAATTGCTAACTATTTAAAATCTACTTAGTGAAGGCGTTTCCTCACAATCATTTTCATGAATTGCAGGGAAACTTTATGACACTTAGATTTTATGGTGTATGTGTTCCTATCCATGTGAATTTATCGTAACCATAATCACAAGACAAGGTTAGTGACAAATCCAAACCCATATGGACTGAATTTGTTCACTCTTAAATTCTTGCCACTTGGCAACACAAGTGTCTACTATTGCTTCCAAGTTGTTATGCAAACAATTGAGAACTCATAGAACTCACATGCATAGTCAACTTTAACTGGAATGGGCACAGAAACAAGAAATATGTCAACACGATAGGTTATAAACCTCAAGTCGTGTGCTAGTGATTAACAATTGGTTTACTCTTGATTAGTTCTTGAAACTCTTCAAGATCTTTAAGACTCCCACTATCCTCTTGACATATAAGATTATCTTGTCAAGAAACACTACTTGACAAACAAATATTCAAGAGTGGGTTTCTTATCAAGACAAACACTTCACACAATTGGCCTTAATTGGTCTTTGTTTTATCCAAAACATCACAACTTACCAATTTCAAATGTACAAGAGTAGAAAACATTTTACTCTACATTTTGATAAGTGTTATAAACCATTCTTAAGATTATGTCACTCAAGGCTCAATCTTGGAGTGTGACTCTAAGATTTGATTTTGGAAGTATGATTCACCTTTTTGACTTAACCATTTCAATAACTCACGATTCCTATTCTTAGCCATACAAATGCACTAAGATGTCCTTAGAGGATCAATTGTGATATGGTTTCATAATCACTAAGGTAAGCATAAAACACGATACTCAAGTACTCCCCCTTCTTCTCAGATTGAAGAAACTTTTATCTTTCTGCCTAATTTGATTCTTCTTATTCGTCCTGCCATACATTGAAACTTTTCCAATGGTTCAGAATTATACTTAATCTTGTAAGTATAACCATATTTACTAAACTTTAGTAAATCATAACGAATAGTCTTATCGTTCTTTGTGGTGGATCTGACCAACACACAACCAAATGTACCCAATCCCCTAGTCCTTCACTTGACTCACGTATACATGTGAACAAGGAATTAGACTCAATTTCCCAAAGATGAAGTTCTCATTCATTACACAATACAAGTTGCATGATTCCAAGTTTCTATCCAACTGAAACTTGGGTGATGAGAACCTTTCCTAATTTGGTAAATCTTGACACTATCACAAACGAAAGAATCAAATCCATTTCCAATATTGCCATCAGTGGAAACATATAAACAACAATTTTCACAAATGCCATTGTAAGGAAACTTAAAATAAAATAAATTACAAAAACTTTATTTATTTATAAAACTTGCAGAAAACTTATCCTTACAATGCAAATACATATGAAAACATGTTGTTATCTATTCCTAAGAAATCTATCATAACTCTTAAGTAGCAGCTCAAAATTCTGATCATCGAACCATGCGATTGAAATCCATGTTTTCGCGATCAGAATCAACTTACTCTTCCTTTAAGCTTCCTTTCTTTTCTTCGATCCTACAAAACATCAAAATGTAATTACATTACATGTATTAAGAATCTCTAAATAGTAACATAATAGAGTTAGACAGTGGACTTACCTGAAGCAGAGTCATACATTTTGACTTTACCATCCTTGTGGTCCTTAAGGTAGATACGACAGCTTTGCAACCAATGCCCTTCTCTTGGAAATAGAAACAAACAGACTCTTTTGGAATGTTACACGGGACAATCTCATACTTAGCCTTTCCCTTTCCCTTGGAAAGAGAAATATTTTTTGGACTTCCAATGTTGCCATTGTCAATGTCCATGGAAGTTTGGGGAGTAGATCTTCCAATCAAATTTGCTTTACCAGTGCGCTAAATCATTGTTGATTTTGCAGCAACAAGCAAATATGCAAGATCGATAAGGGTCATGTCGTGATCTGTCATATAGTAGTCTTTAACAAACCGACTATACAACTCGGGAAGTGACTGAAGAACCCAGTCAACAGCCAACTTCCTCGGGAAGATGACACCTAACATTCCCAGCCTTTCAATGTGTGACTTCATTTCCAAGACATGTGCACACACGGACCTTCCATCTTGGTGTTTGCTAGCCAATGGGGCTTGAGTGAGCTTTAACTTTTCAAGTCTTCGAACTTGTGGGTTAAGGAGAACTATTGGAGGAGGTGGAGGAAGTGAAGTTCCACTACAGCACAAAGAAGGGATTAATCTTTCACCTTGATTGTCTTGTGGAATATCATCTTCATGAGGAAAGTTTTTTTTTTCATAAGATTCGGGAAGACCATAGTTCTCTGAATTAGACATCTATAATGGGAGAATATTCAAGTTAGTTGATTTAAGTCCTTAATATAACACCAAAACTAAATTATATTAAGGCTAGGACCCAACACAATATTTTACAATTCAGAAGAGGGATGTCGTAATCCAATTGCAAAATATTTGAAGGTAGGTAATGACGATTTACCAATTTCCACCATGAAAAACGAAATTGATTATTAATTTTTAAATGAATTGAAATTCCTAGATCTTTTGAGATTCATTGAACTTTTCAATGGCGTGTTTAAATCTCGATTGTGCCCTTCAATTTTGTGACTGGGATGCCGAGGATCACAAACAAGGTGTGAATAACCATGCAAATTAGCTTGAACTACAAGAAAAAGACCCTTTTACGACGCGCAAACCACGACACTCATTGATTTATGTTACGCAAAAGAGAATGACATTAAAAAGTGTCATCTCTTCAAAAAATTTAAGGATTTAGGTCACGCATTATTGCTTGCCCATAAATTAGTGTCTAATATAAAAAAAAATTAAAAACACGGAGGGCACTTTATCTAAAATGTGCGTCCTCTATAAGTGTCGCTTTATAATTTTAAAGAAACGCGTGTTTAGTAGATACGGGGGAAAACGAAATCCCCAAAATTTTGAAAACCCGCTTATCTACCTTCTTTCTTCTTTCATCTCCGCAATCGATTCTCCCCTCTCCCTCCTTCCACCATCTTCTTCGATCCGCTTCACCATCTTCAGTAAGTCAACCATGGAGGCCTAGATGTACATCGATTTGGGTCCAAACCCTCCCAAAACCCTCTCCTCGACTCAAAGCGAAGAGACGAAAAACCGCCACCACCCGCGTCTGCAACAACCGGCAACAACTACTCCGTCTACAGGCAAGTAGGTATGTATGCTTTCGGTCTCTCATTGTTTTCAACTTCTGCATCAGTCTTCTCCCTTATAAACCCTAGTGTAACAGTGTCGGTGAATGAGAAGAAATTCATCGAGTCTGCATTACTATCTGAACTTAGAGTTGATGGTAGGCGTCCTTTCGATTATAGAAAACTATATATCATCTTCGGAAGGTAAGAAATCCCAAAATCATCACTTGATTTCATATTCCGTTGGCTAAAAATAAACAGTTTGTTGATGAACGATGAGTTTTTCATATTGTAGAGAAGATGGTTCATGATTTCTGATGTCTTGTTATTTCTAATTCCTATTTGGCTTCGTGATTTCTGATTTTATTTAGTGATTAGCTTCATGAAGTATTTGGATCTCTGATAACTCAAGGATGGGGGCCACTGAGGCATTGAGATATTTCAAACGTCAGGTTTGAAAGAAAATCACATAGTTGTTAATGTTAAATATTGATTCACAATTGTTGTTTCTGTACTCTATTTGTTAATGCTAAAAATAAACAGTTTGTTGACGAGCTGAATTCATTGAGAGTTGTGTGGATCTTTATTTCTCATGTGTCAGAGCATATAGTTTTTTCTCTTTCCTGTTTGTCTAGGAAAGATTATAATTATTGTTTTCTTCTTAGTCTGCTAATTTTATTATTATTATTATTATTTTTTGGTTTTTTAGGGATGCTCATGGTGTGATGATGGCGAAGGAGATGTCGATAAAGGCAGAAGAGAAAAACATAAATGATGGTGAAGAGGCGGAAGGCTCTGTTAAGACTTCCATCAGCATGAGAAGCTTCCCTCCAGTGAGTGCAAGCTCTGAAGATGTTCCTGCTGTCGCATACAATATGGATGGAATTAGAAATAAAACAGAGCAACCATGGAGGTCTCTCTTTCTTGTCTTCATGAATTTTGTTGATTAAATTGCATGGGTGCCTTAAATTTGTATTTGGTCCTTTTCATACTAAAGCTAGTGTTGCATGTTACTAGATAATTTGGGTATTGGAAAAATGCTTATAAGTTTGTTCCTTTCTCTGGCATATATATAGGTACTGAAAATCAAACATGATTTTGCAATAGTCTATTTATCATTTTTCTTATTATTTTCTATCCCTAAATGAATGTCTGTCTTCTAAATAGGGTTAAACATAAATCTTCTCTTTTTGATTAACAAGTCTTCACTTTTTGTTTAATAAAATGAGTAAGCACACTATTTTCTCATTCCATTTTTTGTGTGTTAGTTTGTATGTGGTGGATGGGTCCAAAACCTGGCTCCCTGGAAACCTATATCCAATATATTCTAAACTGAAGGAAAGAGGCCAGTACATTCTGAGAGAAATCTGAATAGAGTAGGTTAATTCTTATGTTCATATTTTGAGAGAGAGATAGAATGATTCTTTTATGAATAACTTTTTATTGTGTTTCATGTTTATAAGCTGGAGGTTGAGGCTTTTGTTCTAGATTTATGATTTACTTTTTAAACGATCAACTTATTAAAAAAATCTTTCATGTTTATCTGTTGTCTAGTATAGGCTCGTGCTGAAGGGCGATAAAATAGAAATGAGTGCAAATGCTCTTGGTTTAACTATGGAGAGCAATGGGATCAGAATTTTAGAGCCTTTTGATACTTCTGTCAAGTTCTCAAATGCTTCTGGGAAAACAAATATCCATGTTGCAGTTTCAGATATATTCATGAATTTTTCTTTCAGCACATTACAGCTATTTTTAACAGTTGAGGAGGATATATTAAAGTTCCTGAGGATGACATCCAGGAAAATAACGGTTTCCTGCTCTGAGTTTGACAAGCTTGGCACATTTCAAAGTAAAGATCTTCTCTGCTTTTTTGTTGATTCCGAGAAGAATACTTGTTTATCAGTCAATTAAATTACACCTCATTCGTACAAAAGTTCTGACACTACTGTGTTCCAGGTGCCCATAACAACCAAACATATGCATTTTGGAGACCGCATGCACCACCTGGCTTTGCTATTCTTGGCGACTACATGACAGCAACGTTGGTGAATCTTTTAAGATTTTGGGTTTTCCATATTATAGTTGTATACTGTTCTTTCTTATTATCATCATTTGCCTCTTTATTAAAGTGACAAGCCACCATCAAAAGGAGTTCTTGCTGTAAATACTCGCTATGTAAAGATCAAGAAGCCCGAGGCCTTCAAACTAGTTTGGCCCCCTTCTGATTCTCAAGGTGCTGGCAACCTTGAGCTTGTCCCTGAAGATGGGGAAGAAAGTTGTTCCATTTGGTTTCCGGTTGCACCAAAAGGATACGTTGCCTTGGGATGTGTGGTTTCTCCAGGAAAGACACAGCCTTCACTCTCCTCTGCCTTCTGCATACATGCTTCTTTGGTATCTCCATGTGCGCTAAGGGACTGTATCACAATTAACTCTATTGACATGTATGTGAAATTCCCAATTCAATAAACCTAGATCTCGAGTATTCTATCTGAAGATGTTCCTGATGTTCCTCCTGCCCACCCCACCCCACCCCACCCACCCCACATATGAACATTTTGTGAATTAATGTTTGACATGTTTGACTTTGACAGGTGAAAAAAAATAGGAACTCAGAGAAGTATGAGTTTGACCATGTTAATATGGCAAGACGTGCTCTTAATAACACTGCTCTTGGTATATATATATATATATATATATATATTATATATATATATATATATATATATATATATATATATATTTGCTCTTAAGTACGTTTTTTTATATATTGGTGAGTGTTGATGTTTATGATTTTGACTTTTTTTTGGGAAAAAAAGGGTATCTTGCATCTCTTAAAGATGAAGAAATGAGTGAGCTTGTGTTGAATGAATACAAATATGACATATCAATTCTCAGCATTTGACCTAAGGAATCCCAACAAGGTCACAACTTCAGTCTTATTGAGTTGACTTGAGTTTATATATGAATGATAACGGGCCAATTAGGTAGAATTTAAAAAAAAGACAAAAGGAGAAATGGGTCAAATGGTTTAGAAGTCAAAACATACTAATGGTGTGTATAGTTGGATGAAATTGAATTATAGAAGGAATGGAATGGACATGGTAATGGAATGAGTTATTGCATTCTATGATCCTGCTGGTTGGCGTGTAGGAATGCAATGATTTTTTATGTGGATATTTTTATTATATTTAGAAACAATATGTTTTGTCAATTTACTTTATACATGATGTAATTATACACAAAAAATTTCATAATAAAAGATGATTAGAAGTTTAAAACCAAATTAAGGGTACAATAAGAAATATTAAAATTGTAACTTAATTAAAACTGAATCATTGTTTTGATTATAACTTTTGTGATCACATTTGACATATTATTTATATATTAAGTATTTTCTTGAACTTTGATTTTGGATAGGTGCATTCACTGATTGGAGGATTTTGTGCATCACCTGTTAACTTCCATGCTAAAGATGGCTCAGGCTACAAGTTCTTGGGAGACCATGTGCTGCAACTTGACAAACTGAACCCTCAGGTGAAAATGACTTAATTGCCCTTCTTTATCTTTCTTCATTTGAGTCGGACCAAAATTAGATTTTTAAAACACCCTTGTAAAGCATTTTGCAATAGGGTTGGATGCAAGATGTTGCAATTACATCATTCTTGTATCTTACTCTTTTACAATACGAATCTTCTAGGGTTGGTTGAAATTACCATTTTACCCATGTCTTGATTCAGGTGGCGTCTAGGATGGTTTCAGCCTTTTCTAGATGGAAGCGGTATGATGATACCCGCCAAAACCTTGCCAAGGTAACGAATCTTGATCTTTAATTATCATATGCTTTAATAAACAAAAAGAAATTGAAAGTATTACCCTTCAACCTTAGAGAGAATCTAGAAAGAGCCCAAAAGGAGACAGAGGAGCTTAGAGAGAATTTACCCTTGGTTTTTCATGCAACTGGAGTTCGAGGGATATGGAGGATTTGTTAGAGGAGGATTTATACAGGTGATTCTTGAAAACTTTATATTGCATTTTTTAATCTAATTCTTTATAAGGGACTCATAAAATTCTTACTTTTGCAAGGGTGTTTTGGACATTTTTTATTCAAATTCTTTATGTATTTATCAAGTATTCGATTGTAATGAACTGAAATTTATTTATTTATTTATTTATTTTTGCACTTATATTGATATGTATATGTGCTTGTGTGTAGGCTGGTGTCAAAAAGCTTGCAGATGTTCACTTTTCCCTCATTTGACCACTCACATTTGGCACAAGTATTTGCAACTAACATTCCTTGTTTGATTCTTCTATTAATTATATTAGCATATTAATTTTTTGACTTTTATTTGATTAGGTCACAAGAATTATCGGAGCAGGGTTCATTAGTCTTAAAGAATAATGAAAGGAAAGATGCAACTCTACTTAGTTGGAATTTGATGTTTATCACCTTTGTGTATATCTTTTTAGTTTGTATAGCATTACTTTGCAGAAGGTGTCCCTTGATACGCAATGTAGTATTAGGTTATATAGTTAGGGAAAACCTCTTAATAACAATGTACAATTAGATCCCCTTAATATGAATGTATTACAACTTTTTGGCATGATGTTATTGGATGAAATTGATTGTTTTGGTATATATTTGTTTAAATATTTTTGTATTATGCGTAAATTAGTATCGTAAAGACGCGTCGTAAATACATATCGTAAATGGTTATTGAAGTTTATGACACGCAAATGCGTGTCATCCACATTTATGACATGGGCTTTCTTGATACACATTGCGTGTCATAAACATGTGCGTAGTAAGGTTACGACACGCAAATGCGTGTCGTCTTCCTTTATGACAGGGGCTTCCTTGATACGCATTGCGCGTCGTAAACGCGCGTCGTAAATGCGTGTCATAAATGCGCGTCGTCTATAGACGACGCGCAAAAGCGTTTCGTCTCTCGTTATGACAGGGCCTTCCTTGACACGCATTTGCACATCGTTTGAGCGTTTTACGACACGCATTGCGCGTCGTAAAAGGCTGTTTTTCTAGTAGTGTTGGTACACTTAATGTTACAGATCACCTAATCAATGTGTTGGTTAACCACACACACTCCATTGATCTATGATTAACATCAAGCTACCCTTTGCCACACACTGTCAGTCTCATATTAACAAGGTGCAAAGTGCAATTTCATGGGTTAGCACCAAATTCATATTTTTCCTAAGTAACTAAGATTGGGAATTTATAAGTGTTTAGTTACTTGGTATTTTCATTATACTTTTAATGAGAATTAATGTCCTATCCTACCCGTTCGGCTAACGACCCTCCACCAGTCAAGGAAGCGGTGGGTGAGAGTGGACACCCATTAAACCGCCATTTTATAGGCAGTAACCTTATACCCCCCCCCCCTTATAGACCGGCTTCGTGAATGAGGCCTACTAACGGTAAGACCGACTTTTACTTATACATATAATATATTAAACTTTTAATATTATAATACTATAAGGGTGTATTTTAAATTTTTAAAATACTAAGTGGTTTAATCTATTAATTAAACTATACTCTTAATTTAATTAAACTTAAACCATGTCATTATGGAATTATTAATTCTCTTTTAATTAAACACTTTAATTAACTATTAATAAAGTCCATAAAGAGGTAATATGAATTATTCAAAACATCAAGATGCTAAAACAAAATTAAAAGTATTTAATTTATTATTAAGTTACGAACCCATGAGTTACACTTTTGAAAACTTTTCAAATAACTTTAGTTTTAGAATTCAATGTCTCATAAAAAAACTTTTTAAATTCCAAAACTTGAGGTCAAGTTTTGTAACTCTTGAACTTTAAAATTAACATAAAGAGACTTTCCAAGTTCCATAACTTGAGGGAAAGTTATGAAACTCTTCAAAGCCATTTATAACAAATTTTGTAACCTTTGAAGACTTTTAGAATTCATAACTTAAAGAGTTAATGAATGAGCCTTTCACTCCATTACTTATGGAAGTTTCAAAACTCTTAAGATATAACTTTTAAAAAGACTTTTGAGTTCCAAAATTTTATGACAAAAAATTTGTAACTCCTTAAAAATATTAGATCAAACTTTAACAAAAACAATAAATCATATCATTCTATCTTTTAATAAATTGACCTAATTCAACTCTTGTAGTAAAATGACTCAAATTTTACAAATAATTAGTTTTTCATAAAATCAAGTAATTATCTTAAAATTTGACAAACTTCATGTTTTTTTTTCAACTTTGAAAATCCAACATTTGCATCAATATAACAGAAAAACAACTCATGGCTCGATACCACTGTTGGGGTTTTGTATACTACAATTCCTATGGTGCACATATAACCCTAAATGCTTTGGATCTATGTTTTCTCTATTTATACATGAAATATTGTTTCCAAAGCATTAAGCCTACAACTAGCATGCTAACTCTTTATGGATTCATCCATAAACTTAGTCCATCATGTATCATAAGCCCAAACTATATATAATTATATAATATATATATATAGATATATTTTATATACTATATATATAATATTCTATATATATATAATATATAGATATATATAATATATATATATATATGCTAATTTACATTAATTAGTCCTATTAATTTTAATTAGTCTCTTTTGATCACTAAATTAATTCCAAATTAATTCTTGATCAATACTAATTAAATCATATTATTCTATTAATATATTAGAACTTATAATATATTAATAAATCATAAATAACCTCTTCTCAAAAGTCCATCTTATCAAATAGTCATGGTGATATGCAACCCAAATGGACCATGCTACTCTCGGGTCAAGTGCATACCAATTATAGTTATGGGCTTAGACACCTAATCCAACAATATTGTGGTTGGGTTGAGGCGTACATGCTTTGTGTTGTAGGCCAAGAGACTCGGGATGTCCATTTTATACTGTAGGCCCAAGGGGAGTGGCCCCGCTTGGATGCTATAGGCTCCGGGGCACGGCATAGCTTGGATACTATAGGCTTTGGTGGTGATCCAACCTTGTGTTGTAGGCCTTGTGTGCATGCATTGTATGCATATTGTTATGTGAGGTATTTTGGGAAACTCACTAAGTTTTGGGTTACAGTTTTAGATTAAATGTTTTTCAGTTATCAGTTCGTGGGAAGGCGAATGTGTGATTGTACACACCCATCAACAATTTAATGAACGGAGATTCCGCAATACTTTCCTTTATAACTCTGATTTTAAACTACAATTTACGAATAAAGGGTTTTGTCTTGAACATATCTTTATGAAAGTTTTATTTCTTTCTAGTTCAGTTCAAAAATGAAAATTTTATTTTAAAATTTGGGACGTTACAAGATTAGAGATGACAACGTGGGTGGGGAATACAGGGGACCCCATCCCCATCCCCATCCCCATCCATATCCCCGAATCCTCATGCAATCCATATCCACATCCTTATCCCCATCGTAAAATATAAATTAATCATCATCGTCAACCCCCCCTCCCCCTCCCACCCCCTGTTGGGGACCGGGGATCCCCAACGGGGAATTGAATTTTTTTTTCTCTTCTGTTATGAAAACTTTTACGTAAAAAAATTGTAAATTTCAATTTTACCAACATAAGTTTAAAGATTTTAAAATATATAAAAAAAATCATAGATTGTATAAAAACTATAAACAAATTTTCTCCCAAATGTAAATACATACATGAAAAATGAAGTAGAGAGTAAAATTATCAAAATGATATTTGAGGTAAAATATATAAACTAAGGAGAAAAAAATTATACATTAGGTTAAATTAGATAAAAAAGAATGAAAAGTACAATTTCAACCAAGTAATTACTAATAAGTTTGGTTTTTTAGATTAAATTTTAACTATTGTAAATTATACTATAAATATATGTTTTTGTATTATTTTTATGTATTAATATGTTAGAACAATGTTCTTTTAGGATCGTTAGATTCTATGCAAGCAAACAGTTAAGAATGTAATCAAGAACACAAGAATAGCTTTGAATATGTCGTATGATTAATACTTCAACACCTCAGAAGAGCTCGATTAAGAACTTCAACTGTAGAGGTGTTTAGGGTTACAAAACAATGAACGTAATAATCAACACAGTCTAATGCATACATGCATGCATATTTATAGTATAACCCTACTAGATAATCACGGATGGACAGGCCCAATCCGGATACAAAACAAAAAGCCCAAGACGCAACACAATTAGACTCAACAATCTCCCCCTTTGCGTCAATGGGACCGAAAGCTCACTTCGGTTGAGCTGCAGAAGTCTTCTTTATTGTTTTGAACACCTTCGGAATAATAGCCAGCAAATGATGACGGAACGTTATGTACCACCGAAGCATGTCAGTAAAATTCTTCTTGTCAGCTTCTGAGTTTTGCTTGCACCGATGTATAATGTTGATGATGTGCTCCAAGCAGTCAGTTGAAAATAAATGTTTATCAACAAGAGCGAACAAAAATTTGTGAGCTTCGCCTTTTGTAAACATCACAGTGAGATGTTTTGAATCTATTTGGCCCATCTTCATCTTATTCACATCTCCTGGTTTCGATGTTGGCTTGATGGTCGGTTTCTTGTTCATTACTTTCGCTATTTCTTGATCCATAGTTGCGACCTCATGGATGTAAGAAGCCAACATCCTCTTCAAGTGTTCCAAAATTGGTTCATATTCCCTCGGATTTGTAAGCAGAATATTGAATAATAAAATCCAATCATGAGGATTTAGATTCGGAAGATCTGCTAGAGATATAATCGACACCGAGTTTGCAGAACCTCGTGTGATTTTGAAATTGACATTTACAAATCTCCCAGCAGACGTAGGTTTCAGTACCTTGACAGTGATTATTTTCTGTGCGCTCCATGTCAAGTACTGAGGTTGTCCATACTTCAGATAGAAATCAATAAGCTCTCGGTCAACCTTTGGATGAGGAAAAGGAACCTCAGCAGTCGAATCAAAGCAGTGGAACGTGAATGCCTTTCGTGTGATTTGCATGTCGAACTGCGAGTCCTTAGAATTATCACACAGTCAAAAGAAGCAACAGGTTCCAACCAATAAATACTTGGAAACTCTATAGCTTGATTGATAAGTGCCTCTTTAGTCCATAAGGGAAACAAGGCCTTCTTGCAGTTCAAGGCTTCTTCTTCTTCCTTGTTTCTCCTTTCCCTCTCCTCTGCGTCCCTTGCAACCTTCAAGGTTTCATCAAGCTCTTTATCTCTCTTCTTTCGCTTAAGAGCCTC